CAGAAGATATTAAAGTTTAAATAACATTTAATATTAGCGTAGTGGGAGTTATTGACATGTGTGTCATTTATGGGAATACTCCACTATTTATTTAGCACAGCAATACTGACACTTATGATCGCTATTACTACGCACACATTTACACGAATATTGCACCAGAGCACATAGGAAATTGCCTATACTAAACTCCTTATAAACATGGATCGATTCTCCTAAATATTATGCTACACACGAACGTGTTGTCTCACACTTAAAAACGTACAGCATAGCACATTTGTGTTCAGTAAAACTGATTTCGTGTTGTTATCTTTAATATTAGAGCAAATCGACCTAAATAAGACAGTGCACTAACTAAAAAACTAGCACTGATTTAAATTAGATCAATTTAGATGATAGTTAAAACGACACAATTGTAAAACAATAATATACTTTGTTTACCTACGTTGTACTCGCACATATTATTGTATAAATAACTTTAAAAAATGTAATTTAATATCTTTATTCATTCAATTTTTTTTCTATTCACTTGTATGGTTTAATTTATACGATCTGCTACTAGGGATATTGAAAAATAAGTATTAAAATACTAAACTCCTGGGTAGGTGAAAAGAAAATAATGTTAAGACCCACAACTTACGGTTAGAGATTTCAACTATTCTAACAAATTCATATAGTAGGAAAAATTATATTATATTTAAACTAAACTATAGAACTCCTTGAAACTTGGAAAATAAAATTACGTCATACTGCACATAATGGAAACTTTAAGGTTAGAGGTTTCAGAGTCTCAGAGTAGCCTCAGAGAAATTTGTTAAAATTCCGTGTATTTATATTAATTTGTTTTTTCATAGGCACTGCAAGTGTAGCCAAAGGTCTCAGTAACTATATCGACGCGCTGTTGGAGTACCCCATGAAAAGAACGATGACAGAACTCTTCCCTATGAATGTAAGCTTTTTGTCGGAGTTCCCAGACTTTTTGTCGTTCAGCGTCGTGTTACTACTATCGGGTGAGTAAAAAAATGCTCCAAACACGAAGCACTACAGCAGCAGTTATATTCATTTAGGTGATTTAAGTCATAACTTATATTTAATCGATGCATAACATTGCAGTTTTACTGTCATGGGGAGTCCGCGAATCTACGATGATCAACAACGTGTTTACAGTCGTTAATTTACTGACCGTGGCCACCGTTGTTATAACCGGGTTATTCAAAGGTAATGTATATAATTTAAGTATTAATATAGCAAGTCATCAGTGTCGATAATAACACCTGTATAGACACCCTTCAATAAAACTACACTGAGTGTTGATATATAATATTTTCTCATCGTTCATTATAGTTAATTCTTACAATTGGAATATACCGAAAAAAGACATCCCGAAGAGTGCGAGAGGCGGAGAAGGCGGTTTCATGCCTTTTGGTTGGGCCGGAGTGACCGCGGGCGCTGCCAAATGTTTTTACGGTTTTATCGGTTTCGACACCGTAGCTACAACGGGTGAGCATCATCGAATGGAAAACAAATGATCAATGATTTATTCATTCCGTAACCTGTTATATTTACGTAAAACATCAACTAAACATTATATGTCGACAGGGGAAGAAGCGAAAAAACCGAAACGTGACATCCCGTTGGCCATCATACTGTCGTTGTCCATCATAACGTTTGCTTACTGCTGTATCAGTTCGGTATTAACCCTGATGTGGCCATATTATAAACAGGTAAATCGATCATTTTCGAAAACAAAATCCTTCCGTCGTTCATAATAGGATGTGGTTGACTTACATCATTTTTTTAAATTTTAATTATAACGTAATATAATAAATATGAGATTCAATAAAAAAAAATATACAATACATAACATGTTAAGTTAGGTTAGGTGTCATATTTGACAATTTATTTTCTTATAAGAATAAATAATCTTTATATTTATTTGTAGTTGTATTATATTTATTGAAACATGAGCTGTGAAAATGTTGTTAGACTATATAATTTACCTGAAGATAACTTTGAATAATTTTCATCGATATTTTGATTTGTAACAGTATTATATGAACGAAGTTTGCATACTTTAATTTTGAACAATTTGTAACTTAACATTCCACACTTTATAGGACGCTGATGCGCCGTTCCCGTACGTCTACGATCATCTTGGCTGGACAACGGTGAAATGGATCGTTTCTTCCGGCGCTATTTTTGCTCTGTTCACCAGGTAGGCATGCGTTTGTCAGGAGATTTATTTGTTAAATTTCAACCACGATAAACCACGTATTTTACAGTCTCATTGGAACCATGTTCCCGTTGCCAAGGATTCTATATGCCATGTCCTGTGACGGTCTCCTGTTCAGCATGTTCTCCGACATTCACCCCAAGTATCAGACACCTCTATTGGCCACCTTGCTGTCGGGCCTGCTCGCTGGTAAATATATAAAGATAATTATTGTATTACTGTGCGGTACTGACCCTATGCGATTGGCTTATGTCAGGTATTATGTCAGCGATATTCAACCTAGAACAACTGATCGACATGATGTCGATCGGGACGTTGTTGGCGTACTCGATCGTGTGCATTTGCGTGTTGGTGTTACGGTACAGGAACGACTCGGACGTGGAGTTCGTGATCAAGGGCACCGACGAATCGGAGACCAGCGGATTTGTGGAGACAGTCGTCAAGACGGTGGTAAAGTACTTTAACCTGTCCAACATCAAATACGCCAACGAAGAGACCGAGAGCGTGGCCACGATCATCACCATGTTGTTCAGTACGTATTTAAAGGGAAATATTGTAGCCGACGATTAAATTTTAATGTTTTTACACGCCGTTTGTCTTTTTGCAGTTTTCACGTCGACGCTGTTCTGTTTCATCACCGTCCAACAAGAAGGCGCCCAAGAAAGCAGTGACGTCGCTGCGTACTCGAGCGCTATTTTGGCCATAGGGCTGTTGCTCCTGGTACTGTTACTGGCCAGACAGCCCCAATCGACCAAAGAACTTTCGTTCAAGGTATGAATCATTATCGATCTGTGTTTGTGTAATAAAATAATAACATTTTTCAGTTTTTTTTTTTCATTATTGTACTACGTTTTTATAAAAATATTTTTTTTTTTTACTCGATTCTACCCTAACCATATACCGGTGACCAATAACAAAGTATCGTTTTAAGTTGATGCTAAAATTCGAGTTTAGAACAATTTTTAAGCATTTTGTTCTAAATTTATCTATTATTATTAGGTAGAAGTTTGCGTAATAGTAGACTACAATTTTTGAGTGGGGTATACCTGCTATAACCCATACCTACAGACTATAATTTCATATAAATGTTTTGCAATGCTATTTTCGATTGAAAATCATATTTTATTTAACATTAAAAAACAATCGTACTTAAGACAAATACACATACGTTTTTCATTAACACAAAAATTGAACTGATAATGCTCATGTCTCGTTTTCACAGGTGCCGCTGGTGCCGCTTATACCGTGCATGAGCATCTTGTTGAACATATACTTGATGATGAAACTCGACATACACACTTGGATCCGTTTCGGCATTTGGCTGTTGATCGGACTGTTCATATACGTACTGTATGGCATGAAACACAGTGTCGAGGGTAGGAAGCAGTTGGAAGAGCCGAAAAAAAGACCATCGAGCACCGCAGCGGTGCACCCCATTTCCATCATCAAGTTATAGGACGTGTGCGTAAAGTGCATATAAGTATATAAAGTGACAAGGAGATGTCGATCAAAATATTAACATTCCACTTCAAACACAAAACAAACCCGACTGTCGAGCGAACGATGTCACTTTTAAAAAACGCTCTGCGCGGGGTGACTATCGTTCGCAAAATATCTAAACATACCAGTATTATGTTATTTACGTCTTACAAACGAAAAATATATTAAAATTAATCGAACGAACGGCTATATAACACTATATTATTATTATACGAAACTAGGTCGTTCTACGAAACTATTATATTATAATAATATTGTTGACGGGACTTTTAATACCTATACGTGTATTAAATGTTCTAATTTTTTTTTTATGTTGTGATATTTATTTTTAGAAATAATATTTACGTATTTTTTTCGTACATATATATAATATTATTACAATAATTGAATAATTATTGAGTACATTTAAAAATGTTTGTTCTTTGATATTATATTATTAAGTATAATATTATATTGGTACCTATAGTGAGTAAAATTTGTTAAACAAAAAAAAGTATCGTACGAGGAAAATCATTTTCTTTAAATATTTTTATTTTTTTAATAATATTGTCCGCAATGTTGTTTTTTTATTGCTATTAATGAATTAATGTATTATGTTATGATATTTATTTTTAGTACCTATTACGCGTTTGTAACGAACACAATATAATATAATTATTATAGTATATATATTTGTTTATGTGTATATATATATATTATATTCATGTAAGTTCTATGAATGATTTGTAAAAAATAAAATATGTGCAATTTCTAAATTAAAGTACCAACGTTAATCGTAGTTTCAGTAAAAACTAGGGAAGTAATGATCAAGCTGTTCCTGTCCATATTTCGCTATTGTTGTGATAACGACTAATTTAACGTAAGTGTAAAAATCATATAAGAGGGTAAAATGCCTCAAAACTTTTGTTACGAAACAAAACAGGACAAGATTAGGACATGAGTGTGCATAGAGATATCGAAATTGGCACTGTATGAGCTAAGGACCAAAAGGTGCTAAATTGATTTTTTTTGAAAATCCGCTTTTTTATTCATACGCTTATTTATCAATTCTCTATGATTCAAAATCCCATCCAACCTTGTAGGTTCATTATTTAAAGAGTTATCCAACACTAGAACTTACTAAATCGATCAAATTTACTCATTCTTCATTTGATAGTGATTTAAATAGTACCATTTGTCTTTTTATAATTAAACTTTATAGACATCAACACATTTATATTTTATTTTAAAAGTTGTTTATTAATAAAGTATAACTATTAGATTGCCCATTTAATACTAATAACAAATTTGATTAATTTACAGAAAAATAGTACAATACCAAAAATACACTTACGTAGATACTAAAGTCTTACAGTATTAATAATCAATTAATCCATAATATGATAGATGATCTATTACAACCCAATAAGATAATATATCAAGAAAAAAATGTCAAACACGAGTACCGTATAATGTTTCGATAAGAATACGAATTAAAATATGTGCATGCGAAGAATCTTGTATAAGCTAAATATGCTATGGTTGAGCCCGAAATTTACCGTACACCTATCCCATGTTGTACTCGAATTGTAAGTATGAATGATAAGCGTTGTTAAATCTAATAACATATGGGTGTTCTTTCATTTGTACCGATGTGGCCAAAGTTGCCGTGAGTAATATTAAAATCTGTAAGAACAAAATAATGATATCAATAATCTTACTTCAGATGTACCATACGTCAATTTTTAACTTTAAGACTCCACAATAATATAATTTATATATTATAAATGTTATTTTTATTTGTTCCAAAACAGCTGATCCTATCCACATCATATACATCCAGTTATAAATTAATAATAATAATAATACAACATTTACATAATGTGTGTTTTTTTGACTAGAATGTTAATGAGCGGACATTGTAATTATAACATCCTATTTACCGATTACATTTTGACTACGTTTTAAGATATTTCATTTTTTTGGAATTTTCAAATAGTTTCGGAGAACATATTTCCTAAATATGAATATGAATACTTAAACTAGTAAACATAAAGCAATAAATATCATAAACTAATGCGAAAGCAGGTATTTATTCAAATTATTTCCTATTTTAAAACTATTATGCACTAATAAATTAATTTACGTACTTACTGATAATATAAATCTCAAATTAATACGAAAAAATCCAAAAGCTGTTAATTGATCCCATTCGAAAACTGATAATTGATTCATAAACATTTTAACCTAATCGAAGTTATTATAAATATTAAACAAAGAAGTGATTAAAGTCTCGTGGTACATAAATTTATCATTATTGTAAGTATACTATTATTTGCATTGTTATAAACTGATTAAAAATAGTAGTATTACTTGTAACTTCGTGTCAATGGGTAGTTGTGAAATATGTATTAATCTTAGAAATGAAACTATTTCAATTTTCTGAAAACAAAAATAGTACATAACATTATTTATTTAATAAAAAGCGTGTTATTAAATTAGATTTTTAAAACTTTAACTTTAAATACATTACACATAGATCATTATGCCATTCTACATAAATACGCTGTATGAAAAATGGTAAAGTATTGGTTATCGATTAATCTAAATAGTGTTGTTGCATGCCATTATTGATTATCGAAACATAAACATGAGAGAAAATTAAAATCAAATTACATAATATGTATAGTGTATACTGTAATATTAACGTTAACGTTTTTAAACCGAATATTTAAAAAAAACAACTTGTTAAAGTTGTAATAAAATATATAATATCGTTTATTCAAAAAATATTAAATATTATTTTGGACTTTTAGATACTACTACACAAGTTGTAGTGCAAATGCTTTCAGTTTACAAAATATTTTGTTTTGGTGTTTGAATAATCAATAATGTCGAGTATCACAATTCACAATCAACAAATAAATACATACAACGCTATAAAAGTATAAAATATAAACGAATTTCGGTTTATAATATTAATTATTATACAAATATTATACATACTCGTACTTATATATTATAAATTCTGACATGTCTGACAGTTAAGTGAAGTACATTATAGGTGATGTATTTTTTGTTTTGTTTAATATTATATTGTATTGATATGCTTATAATATGTATCATCATTATTTATAAATAGTGCCTACTATAATTTATAATCAACGGTATAACTTAAAATAAAACACGATAAGGAATCGTTATTATGCCAAGATGAATACCTTTTTTCATAATAATTACAGGTTGATAATTGGTTATAGCTTTAATGGGCACTACCTACGATACGTTACCTTTTCGTTTATCCACGATACGGTGATCAGTAGGCACGTTACGAATACGACGTTTTGCAAAAAGAACGTGACGGTCAGTACGACGTTCAGAGTGTAGAAGTTGGTACCGACATCGGACGAGGGGTTATATCTGGACACGTGCAACAGGTAGTAGAAATTCCGGAGGAGGTCGACGAAATTGAACGCAAAGTAGCACAACAGCACCCCCCCGTAGCCCAAACCGAAGACGCGCAGCAGCTCGCACAGTTCGGAGTGCAACATCCGCGCTCTGTCCACCAGCCGAGTGATTTCGGGTTGGGGCCACGTGCCGGCAGTCCCGATGAGTCCGGGGGGGAATTGCTCGCAGACAAAGTTCAGTGTGTCGAACCTGGAGCCCAAGTTCCTGAGATAGAAGTACGTCGTGACGAACACCGCGAACTCTGTGACGCACGGGATCTCGAAAAAATATCTGACCACCGTACCGAAATCCAGTTTGGAGGGCGGCCACAGCCAAATAGAAAATATTTCCAGACCCAAGTACGACGCGAGCAACACGGCCAAAAATGTGTTCCAACCGTATTTCGTCGTCGACAAAAGTGCCGCGGGTTTTCCCAGTGTCATCAGAGCTAGTCCGTCGAGTCTCTGGTCGAATTCGATTATGCCGTTGATCAACCTAAAACGGTGTACGGCGGTTGTATGGAATATATTATTTATATATATATATATTACGGGCAAAGTGGAAAATTCGGACAATGTATACAATGCCCGGGCATTGTATACAGTGACCGGGTATTGTATACAATGTCCGAGATATATTGGGCAATGTAAATTGTGAAGTATTTATACAAATAATCTTCATAATATATTTTGTTAGATGATCCTGATAAACTAATATAAACTTATATCACCATCTGATTGTGCTTGCATGTCGACCAAGTCAATTTGACAGAATGAATTCATTTCAAAAGATATGATTGGGTTTACAACCAACCCTTTTTTAGCTGTACTTCCCTTCTTTTTATACGATTCGCAATTATTTAAGTATGACATTATTACATCTCTTGTTATATTTTTGTACTTTTTATTAATCTCGTGTTCCATTATATTTCTACCTCCATGTCCAATTGACAAATGAACTTCATGTATAATATCATATAACTGAACATTATGCACATAATATTTTATTTCATTACCTTTAAATACATTTAAAAAAAATTGTAATACTCTTATATAAATAACCATATAAACGAGTATAATTAAATTAGTATATAATATCATTGATTAGGTATAATAATATTATGCAGATTATTTGTACAAATACTTCACAATTTACATAGCCCAATATACCTCGGACATTGTATACAATGCCCGGTCACTGTATACAATGCCTGGGCATTGTATACATTGCCCCAATTTTCCACTTTGCCCGTAACATATATATACATATATAAAGGAATATTACTATGGTGAGATTCTTGTTGACCATCAGTTATAAAGAATGGCTATGACTACAATTAAGTGTTTCAGTTGATTATAATATAGCATCATGTTATTTCGCTATTTGTAAGTTCGAAATAATAAATTATAATAATTGCTTGATAAGCGAAAATATGATGACGTGTCAAATGATTATGACAGCTGCAGTGGAGTACCGACCGAAGGGGTCAAAGAATAAACATTTGAAAAAAAATCTTTATTCTAGGTTATAGACCTTTAAAAATTCACTTTGTGTTTAAAATGTTAATAGTATAATAAACATTTTAGAAGCAATTTTTTTAATTTTATAATTTTAAAGAAAAACTAATTTTAAATAAGTACTCTAAGATGTCCTGCTCGTTTAGTCGTATAACCATTTTGTTATGCTGTTCAAAATAAAGCAAACAGAATAATAGCAAAAGCGTATTCGTCATATGAAATTAAAACGTTCACAAGGAATTCAAAATTTTTAAAACTCAACTAAACATAAGTTCCTGAAAAATTTCATATTTTACTGTATAAATTAACAAATTCACTTCATTTCAATATTCACCTACGCATTCGTAAACTGCTACAACGACGTCTAAAACGTGACAGTCGTCCGATATTATTAGTTGACTTTTTCTACTACTTAGTAATATTATCCAATTGTTAATTAGTACTAAATATTTAATTTCTTGTATTATTATACTCATCGTGCTTATAATAGCATGTATATTATTGTTCGTCATATTATTACAAAAAATTAAACTGCACAACTCATCAGCCTATGTAGATGGCGCAATCAATAGATATACGAATGTATATTATGGACATAATATATAATCTAATATGATAATAAAAACAATAATGTTTAAGTTAATGTTATATCGTACGTAATGATACCTGATGATCCAAATTTCGTAAACCCTCGCCATGACAACAGTTGTCCAAAATTTGAGCAACACCAGCTCTCGGAGGAAAAACGTGTTGTTCACGTGGAAGACATACGTAAAACCTATCAACGCGATCGTTCGCGTCAGTTCTAGGCAGACATAATACATTTTATTATTCGAGTTTTTGTCCAATAACCCGGAATCGAATGTATACGTAATGCTTATGAATCCCAAAGTTTTTGATAAGACTAAGAATGGCCTTAAGGCCACTACAAAAGATGTCATATTCACAGTACTGTTGGTCGTATGACCGAGTTTGTCGTTATAAAATGTTTGTTATGCGAACTATTGTGTTGAAACGTATGTGGTTGCTTAGGACATGAAACGCATTATAATATCAGTCATGGCGGTAAAAGGATAACTCGAAAGTTGCACTACTGGAAATGACAGAATAATTACCATTCGATCGACTGTTATTTTTTCAAGATCGCTATACTACATTTATAACAAATGTACGTAACACACTGTGCATAATTTACTACCGATGTGCATATTTGATTTCGGCGATTCGATAAAAATCATAATAATATATTACCGAAATGGTTTTGGAGGAACAATTTCAATAAAAGAGTCATTATTAACTGTAAATTTATTAATTATTAATCTCTACCTATGTATTTGTACTAATGTGCTAATTTATCACTACCTATACAAATCATAAAATTTAAAATACATAATAATTGTTTGATATTTTATAAATTTGAGCAGACGAGCCAAAAACTTGTGTAACCCGTTTGTTATATTATGTTGTGACGGAAAAAAATTATAAAATTTCACTAATTGTTTTAAAAAATAAACCAATATGCAGTATCATGAAATTTGCTAGTGGGAATTACTTTTATTTTTATTCAATCACTGAGACATTAATATTTAAGTTGTTATCTAATATTTTAAATCTTACTATAATAATAGGTATAGTAAAAATATTAATAATAAGTAAAATATAAGTATTTTTTTTGTATAATTTATTATATTCCTTGAATACATACCACTGTAATTAATTATCTATTGGGTGCAAGTCTGTATCTCTCTTAAAACAAAAATCCGCGTGATTACTGATTTGTAATAAATTGACAAAATATGATAAGATTTACTGTTCTATGATATAACTCAATTTTTGATAAATAATAATATTAGTCTATTACTATTTAATTAATTAAATTGTTCGTCAATACATAACAATTATATTTTATTTTATTACTGATCAAACCACTGAAATAAAATAAGCAATTAATTAATATACCTATTCAGGCGAATCGGTAATAAATTATACACAACACGTGTACGTTTTGGGTCAGTGCTTACTCAGCTCATTTTACATTTAAAATAGTCACTCCAACTGACCCGTAAGAATTATACCTATGTTTACTCTATATATGGTAGCCTGTTGGTAGACCGAAATAAGGCGCCAATGTTCATTTTGTAAAATATTTAATAACTATACTTTGTTGTGTGCTTATTTTTACTATTTAACGCATTTGCTTTTTTTTTTTGTTACATTTATTATGTTTTCTAAAAATAATAACCAATAATAATAAATGTAGCTTGATTTTATTCTTCAGTTACAATAAACGTCTTCTGGGTGCCAGTACGGCCGGGTGTCACTAGTTCCAGGATAGGTGATAGTTTTTAGTGACAAATCCTTGCCACACATGCACATTACACGTGTTCCAAACCAATCTCACCCTCTCCTTCAATGAAAACCAGCTAATAACCATGAAATTGATGCTATGAAAAAATAATTAATAGTTTATATGTTTTTCGATTTGCAGTTATTTTTACAATCAATAGTAGCTTATGCATGCAGAATAAAAAAAAGACAATTTCCATTAAATTAATAACAATATTTAAATATCACAGCTTGAAAATGTTTATAACATAAATTTCTATCTCAAATTGTCTTCGTCGGATGAACCAGTTTTGGGTGTAAGTTCATAAGCTCTTTCAATTTCTCATCCTTCCTTCTTTGATTTATCAATAAGTGGATCAAGCAACATACGAGTAATAAGAATATGAGCTGTACTAAAGCAATCCACAGAATAACTTTTACATTGATATTTTTATCTTCATCACGTCTTACTGAAATACATAGAATAACGGTGAACTTTTTTATAATAATTCAATTTTGATGTCCCATATTTACAAATATTACAATATATAATTAATATTAGAATATCTATCAGTAGAATTTTAACTGTTTTTAAGTAAAATATAAGATACAACTAATAAATAACATAGTCACGCCGATATTAATAACAGGAAACTAGACGAAATTTAGGTGATAGTATTACTACTAGATTATAATAAGTAATAAATTATAACCATTATTATTTTTATTCAAAATTTATTTTTGTTTATTTGGCAGAAAATTATTACTTGTACACTTATATACGTAAATTAATAGTTATCATTGAAATAAATATTTAAGCTATACTGTCTGTATGCCTGCCATTTAAAGGTCTTTGAAACATGAAAAAATTCTAGAGTTGCCTTAACAGGCCAACAGTATAAATCCTTTGAAGTTTAATTATTTGCAATAAAAAGTTTTGTATTCGTTTTTCAACGAAAGCTTAACTCATTATTAATCTACCACGGTAAGAGTAGAAATGTATTTTCTTCCAAATTCACGAATTTGAGGAAAAAAATAACGATACCTAACAACATTATTCAACCCATTATACAAATTATAACAGCTAATTAACCTTCTTCCACCCCCTGTAACCGATTAAAAAAAAGAAAAACGATGAAAATATAATTTATTATTTTTATAATATGACATAATTGTGTATGCTTCTTGCAGCTATAGTATATTATAGTACTTACCTATATCTTGTATTGTAACCATTACGGTTTGGCTGTCGGAACTGAACGAGTTGTAAGCAAAACACGTATAAGAGCCCGAATCCGATACATTGGTATGGAAAAAGATCAACTGATTGTCTAAGTAAAATCACGTATAGAAATTATTAAGGAGATAGATTTTGTTATTTTTAAATTATAATTGCATAATGTAAAAGAATCAATATGTCTTCGTTTTGGGTAGCTACACACGCTTACCGATTACTTGTCTCCGTATATTGTTCCGTATTATTTGCCCGTCTTTGTACCAGCTCACAGTGGGTATTGGATAGCCTTCCACCGAACAAGGAATCGTTAGGTCCGAGCCGACTTCGATCGTTGTGGGGGTCAAAAATTGATTAATTCTCACCAATTGACGTGCTGCATTTGAAAAATATTTAGTTAAAATAATTGCGACTCAGTTTCAGTTTTAACGCGATCATAAATACATTTGTACGTTCTTAAAGTTAAAATTGGCATAATTTTGGGTTTTTTTAGTACTAATATAGTTACATATTTAAGTAGACTGATTTTCAGCATTACAATAATATATATGTAAATATCGGACGATAAAGAGCTAACCAGTCCTAATTCAGTAAGCTGCTTAAAAAAGAACATTAATATTATGCGTCGATTTTTCTTGTGTATTTTTAATCGTGTTAAAGTTCATACTTTTGTGAGACTAGGTGAACTATTATGCGTTTTTCCAAGTACAATAATAACTAATAAGTAATAGTTATGAAAGCGCTGTATTCCATAAGCCCATAACTAAGTTACGTAGTTGTTTTATGAAATATTATTTAGTGAAATAAATATTCTAGTATACTACTAGTAACTAAACCATTAATATTTGAAACCCATGTAATGCATGGTTTGTACCTAACTCTAAAAAAATTAGCGGAAAATGCATTCCAACATTATTATTAATAGATATACTTGTTTATTTATGCACTTTAGTAATTACGTATTTCTTCTGAATAAACTTGTTGCCACATTTCATCGGCAAATAAAAATATTACCAGAACTGCCATTGGTAAAATGCTCAACTGATTAGGGAGATCAATCATTTTTCTGAAATAAAAAAAACAATGCCTTACTCATATAATATATAATAAATAACATGAATTTCTGATTAGTTTTAATACTGGGGATGTATATTTTATGAAATTGTCTGTTCTAATAAAAATAATATTAAGATTTTAGATTTTGAACGGTGCGATGAATGTATTGGCTTATATTCATGAGTCTGTCATAATCTTATGTAGCAGTTAAAGCTCTCAAACAAAAACATTAGTCAAAATTCAACAAATGATAAATCATATAGATAACAATGCATTATTCCCATAACTTTCAATGGCAATATTATAGATTAACAAAAAAATATTCAATTTTCGTGAGCTGAAACAAAATGCACTTGAATTCAAAATCATTTTTAAGTCCAGCAGCTAGATTGGATTTAAAAAATTGTGGTATGGAGGTACCATATAAATATTAAGCCTCTTCGCTGTATGTTGATTGATCAGTCAGGACATCTCATTGTATATAATTACAGATTTTACTACACAACGGCACTTCAAAAGGCGAAAGGAAATCATGTTTACAAGAACTAGAATCGGACACTATGTTTTAATCCATGTATTCTTTATAAGTATAAAAATCCAACATTCATTATAAGCAATGAATGCATAGGCAACTTAACCATTAAACATATCACTCAAAAATACAAAAAATTTCAAAACACCTTATCAATACCAAGCAATCCAGAAGAGACATCCAATGAGGATAACCACACAAAAAGCCTAGCTTCTCTAACCAAAATTAATATTATAAAAACTTTTGACTGTTTTTAACCTTAAACCTATGTAAAAACTTGTATATTTCAGCTTTGAATTTAACATAATGTACAGCAAGGTATATAGTCTTAGTTGCTGACGCCTAATAGTATTAACTTTGTCGTGATCCAAAAATATTATTCGTAGGAACTTTAAAAGTATATTCACAAAATGAAGATAAATTACTTTAATACCAATATAAATAAATTTAATAATATAGGCTGGTTTGACCGTTTTCTCTCCAACTCGTGTTTCGCATAATATAATGATAATATATAATTAATTTCAAATTAAACACGCATATTAGAGTGACCCACCCGTCAGATACTGTATACCAATTAACAAAAACTAGTTTTGAGTACAAAATCATTTTTTTTTTTTATTATACCATTAATATAGCAACTTAGTATTTAACAAATGGATATAAAATAATGTATACACTTACTCGCCTTCGTAAAATTACGGTATACCTTTGTTGTATTAACACGGACGTCGGACACAGTATGAAAAATATGAACGTAGAATAAATAATTAATTGTGAAGTAGTTGTTGATTTGCTTGCGAATGTATAAACTAATAAGTAAGTATTGTTGTAGAGCGTTTATGATTTAGCATACCTCTTCACAGTGACGTTTGTTTTGCAAATACTAGATAAGGTTTGATAATATTATAGCATTTAAATAATGATCATTTTATCTTTTTTATTTTAATATAATATTATGATTAGTACGGCTGCAGTATATGAAAATGCAATTAAAATGTTTGTATCAAGTATATAACACGTGTAATTTTATCAATTATCTGATGTGGTCTTTTTTTTCATACTACCTGTATAATATGTATAATAATATTATACCGTGTATATAATACCTCGTATAAAACAATTTTATGCCACTGTATAATGTATGTTTAATACAAGCTAACATCTCTAAAAATGTATGTAGAAATGGCCAACAACAAGACGTCTCTCCAGCTACAAAAATAGAAAAAACTTAATATTTTCGACATTTATTTTTATTATTACGGCTTTTACCTATCAAAATCGTCAGAAACCCCGGTTTGAAAATGTCTCAAAAACTGCTTTCCTAACATCAATGATAGAAGGCTTATCTATGATAAGTATATATACCTAATGTAGTAAAGTATATACACAATTATTGATGGGAATTGTAGTATAAACACACCAGAAACATAAGGAAATGAAATTTAAGGTTTAATTACTTTAATTACACACAATTCTTAAGAATTTGACCGATCGACATGGTAGAAGTGTACATCTATAAAACTATAAATATGCATGTATACAATATGTTCTTTTTTTAATAAATTCATAAACTACAATATATTTCGTCGGTTTTACCTTTTTTCCTCAGTAATCATAAGGTTATTAAACGCTTTATTAAAATATATAAATTATATAAATTGGTGAGGTGTTTAATCAAATAGCCGCTAGAACCGTAGAACCTTAGACTTCTCATATTGATAATTATATATTAGTAACGTCATATACTTATGTCATGTAAATTAATTTAATTATGTGAATTTATGTGAATTATATCAAATTAGCAAATAGATAATTCACATACACAGCTATTTCTTTCACATCAACTGTTTATTTTTATTAAATAAGTTATATATGTGTATATTTTAGACTTGCCGATGTGCATCATACATCCAGGATAATATTAGTATTAAGCGTTGTTGAACAAGAATATTATACTGGATTTTATTTTAATAAAAAACATCCAACTTTTTTTATATTGTTCAATGTATGCTCTGTTATGGGGTCCATCAATACTTAAGTATAACAAAAATAAAACAAAATAAAACAAAAAAAAAATATAAAAAAATATTTTGAAAATATTCGCTAATTTTCAAGTTTTTGTAAATCTCGCCAATCTAATATTTTGATATTTTATAATACTTTCTACTTAGAAACTATTTTGAGAACAAACCAAAGATGTTCATGTATTAAACAATAATTAAAGTATTGATAGTACTGATAATTTTCTCATTAGAAATTACTACACGTTTATAACTTATTATAATAATAACATTTACTATTATGTATACGTATATTATACTGTTATACGTATTATTTACATAATATAATACACTATACACTATATATTATTATAACAGAAAATATAATGAAACAATTTCCACATCTTAATAAACTTCAAAATTCAAATTATTAACAAAACATTATCTTCTGTTACAACTAACCCCATATACAAATTTATTTAACCATCAATATGACAACGAGCCTTAGTTATGATTCAATTTGTGTACCAATAATTAATAATAAAACATAATATATTAATTGATAGCCACTGTTTTTGCATAAATGGCATAATATTTACATTTATTTTTACTGACAACTACAGCTGCAACTGAGCTTAACGCACAAAATACAATCCTAAATGCTGGGTCTTATGTCACGTAAATTTATTTAATTTCATTTATTATTCATCAACAGAGCCATTTTCTTCCCAACAACTGTTTATTTTTATTTAATAAGTTCAACTAATATTAATTAGACATTTCTGGGCGTACACACGCATTTCTGTTGTTTGAATTTTCTCAAAGATAGTACATAATAAATACTGTTACATTTGTATTTTAGACTAACTGATGTATATTATAAGTCCAGGATAATATTATTATTAAAAAAAAAATATTTTGAAAATATTAGGTAATTTTCAAGTTTTTTTATAACTCACAAATTTAATATTTTGGTATTTCATAATTCTTTCTACTAAGAAACCATTTTAAGAACAAACCTAAGATGTTGATGTGTTAAACAATTTTATTGTGGATGAATTAATTGCAAATGTATTGAAATATCTTTTTTAAATTAAACGTTTATTATTTACACATATTAATCAACGCTTAATCGCGGCGAGTCGTCCTGACAACCGTAGTAGTCATCATTTTCCCATCGGATCAACTTTATATATTAATGTACTTATACATCCTTTGAACTCTACACACGATTGCACCTATATTGCCTATCCAATACGCCGTCTTAACATTTACGTTGACCACAAAATACAATAAACGGAAACTATCACATTTAATTTACAGCTGCCCTCCAACATTATTTAGCATAAATTCTGACATTTTTACCTGTTTTGAGGCAGACCATTATTAAATTATAAGACTGTAATATTTTAAGTTAAATATCGAACAATGTAAATATTTCATATATAACGATTGAAAGCACCACTATACATTATAATAATTATTGTGAAATGGTATATTTGTTCCTATATGTGTATGTTGTCAAGTTTGGATCTAAATAAACAATTATATGACGATACTGTTAGGTAATTTAAATTTTAAGTGTAATGTAATTGTTGAGCTATAATTCTTATAAAAGCTAATAAAAAAATTTCATATTAATTTTTGTTTAATGTAGCATCTTAGACGAACAAAAATTTTAAAAATCACGATGACTATAAAATAGTATATATTATTATTATATATTAGAAATCTAACAAGACACGATCAGAAAGGCTGGATATGTGTAGTCGCCTACTAGTCAATATATGTAATATTTACATATTATGCACATAAACACAATCAAGGACCAATGTTTTTATATAAAATTATGTAGTGTTTTACTATAGGTATGCAACTGGGAACTTCTGCAGTTAATGGATGGTGTCAGTCATTACTCACTAGTGAACGTTGACATGCACCATTATCATTAGTGAGACTTGACATAGAATATCATCGATACAATTGAGTTGCACGTAACTCATAATGTCATGTCGACATGACAGTTTAATATCAATCGACGAAGTCTTAATTGGCTGAAAATTGGTACTACAAGCATTCTCATAGAATTAAAAAGTAGCCACTGGTCAAGGACTAATAATGATATAGTCAATAGCCGAAGCAACAATAAAACGAAGTTCACCTTAAATCAATTATTGAAATTGAGTGCAATTATTCATAACTTCATGAACGTTGTTTTTTTATACAAACGACACTTGAATACAATATTTTATACACTATCGATAATTGGTATCTTAAAAGTATACTTTATATAGTCAACCAAACTTAAAACTAAATCCGTAGTATACAAATCTCAAAATTTTCAAAAAATGTTGTCTAAATTTCAGAACTCACTTAAAACACCAAGACATTAACTGCCAGCATTTTTAAAATTTTTCAACATGCCCTGATTTAGGTTGTGTATGTTTACATTCATCAGTTATCAACATTAGCATTCACCATAACAGTTAAGACATTCGCAATAACATCGCGGCAGTGGTGGTTAAATAATTTAGGGTTGAGGAGAGATAAGGCTGGTTGTTAACGAACTTAGTTCGTTAATAAGTAATAACTTAAATTTAAAGATTGTATATAAATTTATTAATTACAAGGTTCATTGATAGGTTGCAACTTACTTTTTTCAGTTTAGGTATCTATTACATCACTTGAGGTTATAATATTTACAACCACATGGTGAATATAGCCATTGTAACCAACCCATACGTTTTAAATCAATATTTTTAGGGTTTTTAATACAATTTAACTGTATAAAAGAAATGAGGACGAACCTAAAAAGCAATGGTTAATGCTTTATGATATTATGTGTTATGTTCACAATGTATTTTATTTATACAAATTGTTTTTTTTATAAAAATATCGATAAAAAATATAATATTGAAATATGGACATGGGAGATATCCACACCTCCCCCCCCCTCAACATTAGACCACCCCTAATGAAATGAAATATTTTACAAATACGATTTTATAATATACAATTGTTAGATATCTTTAGTATGTTGAATTATTATTCTTCGGTATTTACAGATGAACTTTTTATTAAAACAACGGTTAGTCTCAAAAACAGAAAAAACCGATTTACGTTTTAATATAAATTATTGTAAAATTTTTTTTTTTAATACTATTGTTTTATTACAATGCTATTTTAAACTCGAGTGTGGAACGCCATCTAAATGTAATATCATTGTTACATAGCTGCATTAAAGAATCGTCCACTAGAGCGCGCTATAGAATTGCATGACATTTTCTCGACCGTTGAAGAATAATGTGTATTTACACAGTGCGTAATAATAATATATAATATTATTTTTTTAAATGGCCATACAATTACCGTGCAACACAATTACGAACACGTTAATCGACTAATTAAATTGTCAGCGTCAGAAATAAAATCGAAAAATAGAATAATAATAACACGTTACGCCGAGTACGGTTGGTCGTGAAAAAAAATTACACTCTAACACGAACGATACGCCCACACGGTCTGAGTTGCATAATATTATTGTTAAGCGTTGAACGTGTGAAAAGTGGGTTTGAATAATTATTACTGTCGCCGCAGATAGTAATAATAATATTATTATCGCCCGTAAAGGCGCCAAGAAAATTCAATAAAATAACATCAACTATTATATTATGGGCTTGAGATAAAGTGAGTGCTGTGAATTGACCAGGTACATTTTTTTACTTGCAGTTTACCATCTATGTCAATGGGATGCAACTTGGCGGTCACGAAATTTTATTAGGGGGTCGCCAATAATTTAAAAATAAGCGCAAAACTTATTGACTTGTCATCAGATGAAAATCTAAGTATCAAATTTCAAGAAAATGCATGTGATACATTT